TACATGATAACATGCTGATGATGTGGTAGTTGCCCCTCCACTTAAAAGTTAAATATATCTTCAAGTACTGAAAGATAGCCGGCACATCCTCTCAGCATGGTCTCTAACTAGGGGCCTTCTACTAAACGATCAGCAGTAAGCCCAGTGTGTTTTTCGATTGCAGCCCTCCCCCAGTTCTGAATCCAGACAGTCCGCCCAACATTCTACTCTAATTTGGCATCTAACCCCTCATCTGCTGTTCACATTGAAGGCTTTTTTATTCAAATTCGTGACCTTTTATATTATATCCAACGTTTGCGTTCACATCACAAACCGCAAACCCTAATCTGGCGATTTATAGATGCTTAGATTTTTCCCCTCATTCTTTACTACTATCATGTAAGATTTGTCACCTTACTTAAAAAAGACCGGTTCATTTTTAGATGTATCCTCCGAATGCTCTGTTCAGCTGCTGGTGTTGCCTATTTCCCTCGTTGGAATTATCATACACCGACACTCCAACATGGTCAAGCAATTTACTGATCGCATTCTTGGTGGTATCGCTCATCTTCTCCACTCTGTACTAATGGCTGCGAAGTCTTCCGGTACTATGCGTCGAAGCTTTCAGCATGTGTCTTGCCGTACATAGGCAGATCAGCACTCTGTACTTCCATTCCTAACACGCTACCCCACGTGTGAAGAAACGGCAATTCGGAAGTTGAAATCAAACATGTCTCCATAACAGGTGCGGATATCGTGTAAACCTTTAACTTAGAGTATTCTATGACCTGTTACCATGACACTTTATCTTACCTTATCCCTTGCTCTCCGTAAATGGCGCCACTTTTGCTGAAAAATGTGAACACTCTCCTTCAAAATAAGGCATATTTCTGTCTTCTCAGGCCGCATTTGGATTAAATTACACAAGTCCGATAACCATGGGCAACCCAAGATCGTAAAACAGTATCGAAACAGTTCAAAGGAGAGTCATTAAAATGATTATGCAGCAAATGTCCTTACTATACACAAACCGGCTAAAAAAACTTCATCTGCAGTTTTTGAGTTACATGCAAATTAACGGAGATCTTGCGCATGCGATCACATTGTGAGAGGATTGGATTGTTGTCTCAACTTTGAAGATTTTTGGAAATAGTTATCACGACCAATCTTAGAGGATACCCATTTAAACTGCTAAGTGTAGGCAAGATCTCATTCCCAGCCAAAGTGGACAAACCATGGAATATCCTCCCAACAGATGTTATAATGTCATCATTAATAAAATACTATAAAGGAAACCATGGCATGCTCGAAAATGAATAGCAGCAACGAGGGGGTTAACTTCGCTTTTGAAAGTCTCTCCCAAATATCATATTTCAGTCCCGTTTGGACTGTTTCGATCCACATGGTTTCTCTGTACACTGCACTCAATTCCACGTTGCGAATATGGCAGTCAAAACCTGACGCCCATCGTCCTCAATAAATTGAACTGAACTAACACTCAACAAGAAGGCAAACACGGTTTGAATTTGTCCAAAATCCAAGTAGCCGGTAATAACTTGAAAACTCTCCTGCAGTTTCTCCAAAACCACGATGAGTCAGGCTATGCATACATTCAGAATTTTATGCAAGTGTAGTAAACCATCAAATATAGGTAGTGGTAATAGAACATGGCCGCATACAGCGTTGAAAATCCAGGATCACAGGAAGGAAAGCGTGAGGCGGAACGTCAAGAATAATTAATAAAATTATGTAAAATGATTTACAAAAGGGAAATCGTTTTAGAATGTATGAATAATTAATCCCATTCCTAACTTGAACTCGCTCTTCGTAGTTGCCTTTATTCATATATATGCCTATGGTTCTGCATCATTCCTGACTATCTATGTTTGGATGGATATGCTGTAAAATAAACCAATGATTATCTATAGTTTTGAAGGTGGACTACAGTTCTAAGCGTACACTGCACCTTGGTGAGAAGGTTTGAACTGAATTGACATTCTTACTTGATGTCCGAAAAATATACCAACTGCAATCAAAGCGCGAAACTTGAGTGCGTTGTTGTGTCTACCAATTTGGCCAGTTAGGCTGGTCTGCGGTGCGAACCAGACGTGTGGCTAGAAGCGTAGATATGATAAAGACGTCGTTGTCTGGATCTTCAAAGGTCGTAAATTTGGACCTTAGCATTGACCCGCAGGCTGATGTCGAACTAGCAGAGCCACCGTGCAAACGGTCTATCCCTTCAAAGTCTGTGCCTCTAACGAATGGTTTCAAGAGACCATATCCACCAGATACACTAGCGCCACTTAAGACTATCAGTTCTAATTCCAATAGCTCTTCGGATTTTTCGTCGCTCTCTGATCTTCCAGATATTATATCTTCAGAGAAGTTAAGGGAGAATTTCCGAAAGCAGTACGAACGTTCTGTAAAAGCTGCAGTTGATGGACTACTTACCCGAGTCCTGTCCTACAATCAGTCCGTCGAAGAGCTAAGACAGGAAACAGAGCTTCTTCGAACGCGCCTTGTCAAACTAGAGGTCTGCACGAAGAAGATCAAGTCGCTGATAACAGAAAGCGTACGCATTGATAATTTTTTCGGATTCTTTTTCAAATTATTGTTTGAATGATTTTATCTTGAACTGCTGCTTTTCGTTATCCAGTAAACTGTTAAAGCCACAATAAGCTTTCAATATAGTACACACCTGTGTAAGAGGAGCCCCTAATACCAATCGGTCTCGAATCGAACCTGGGGATGACTATTCATTCAAACTCAATGGGAATGCTATTCGGTAAATTGATTAATCAAATTGCCTCCATGAGAAGACGACTAAAATTTTCAAATGTTTGGCAATCTTTTCCTGAAAGTTAGGCTTGAAGCGAATTGCGCAGGCATAATCTTGAACGGTATTATTGGCATCTCCCCCAAAGGCGTAGTGCGATTACCTCTGGTATTGCAAGAGTAGTTACTCGTCGCTCACCTATTGAATCCAGCAATCCTTCGGTTGCCGTCGCCACATAGTAGGGGGCGGTGGGAACGGTAAATGCTGTCTCAGCCAAGTTCATCAAGACGTGTAGTTTGTTCCTGAACGCGTTGCATTTATATTCGTTGTTGGAGTGAAGTGGGTCCATCTTACGTTAGTCGACATTAATGAAGTTGCATCTGCGACACCATATAGGTCGTCTAGATAGTTCAGTGACAGCCGTTACAGCTGCCAAGCACACAAAAGCCAAAGACCGAGCTGACCCAGCATGCCTGCACAAATACACCGTTGATTTGCTTTTGTTTCCCGTCGCTCGTTTGGACATATCCAGATGTCATCCTGAGACGCTTATTCCTCCACTGCGGTATGCGACTTAATTAAATTGTGGTCGACACTAGCACAAGGGTGCCACCCTCCGCCAATTTAGACAGGGTATTTGTAATTATTTCTGTCAAGGTTATTGGTAATCGTTGTGGTCGGGATGTAGGCATTTCGTCTCTGGCGACTTTGTCTACTCGAGTCATGGCCTACCAAACGCATAAAGGGGTGACATACATTGTCTACGTTATTCAATTGGCATTGCATTGTCAGTACAAAGGAAAATCTTGCATTCCAGCCTGAAGTGGGCCGTTTGTGGATTTACCGTCCGTCCAAAAAATTGAGGCATCTGCACGTCAGTTCATTCAGATGCTATAGCATGAATCAGAGTGTTGGATGTACAAACTTTCACAAAATGAAGACCAACGGTCTTTTCACTTTTTCGATGCCCCAGTCCAGGCAGCACTCCCGCTGCAGTTGGTTGACATAGAATATATTAACCAACGTTGGAGGATCGCTCGCGGATCTCTGCACAGTGCGGATCATCCTCGTATCTTGGCAACCCAAAGCTCAATTTGAGGCCATTAAAATAGACCGTGGGCTTAACGCCCAGTGAACGAAGTCCCAACCCGAATCTCCGAGTTATTCAAGCCACGGGTTGGAGTATGGCTAGCCGACGACAACAAGAAAGCTAAGATGAGCATCACAGTCTCCTTCGTCTCCGCCAAGGCTCAAGGACCCTAACGCCTCTTGTATAAAGTACTGAACGGCATTTTAGACGATGCAACCAACTGTGTAGTATACAACTGCTCATTTACTATTTTTTCATGATTCGATGGTATCGACACCAAGGGGTGTCCCCCACAGGATGGGATTACTCCCCGATTTTTCTGTCAAAACTATACTCATTTGCTTTGGGAGTGTATAACTTACAGTGTGAACATCCAACCAGTATGACGATAGGATGTGAGCCGGGTACCTTACTGCTGTTCTTGGTCGACCAATACTTAAAGGGCATAGTCCGGATTACTCAGCATAATTACTGGGCTCATGGTCATCCACACCTGTCTCCGAGCGTCTCGTCTTTAGAAGTCACTGGGTCTGGGAAAATAGGTGCCGAATATGAAACCGTGGTAGCTGTCGTCGCACGTCGCAAGTGAACTTATTATTTGATTCTGGAGGACGCCTTTACGTTCTTGATTGGCTAACTAATCAGCCTTCATTCTCGAGTATTTTTGGAACCATGAGAGAGTGTCTTTCGTGAAGTGGAACCGACAAAGGCAAGGGACACCGAAATGACTATTTATGGCCTGTCAGTTCTCATCAGCCAGTCATATCAAACCCCAGGAATGGCGACCCCCGAGATTCGAACACGGAAACTTTGTTTTGAGTGCAACACTATCATCGCAGATCAATGAGCGCCCTACCATTCATCATAACCCCGATCAAAACCGCCAAAACAACCCCCTGGTGAAATTGCAGAGTGTTGCCCTCAGTTTCCAAAGCATCCGGATATCTGGGGAGCGTCGCCAGCCGTACGATTGGGTATGACTGAGTGATGATGGCTAATAAGCCAAAAATGGTCATTCCGGTCTCCCTGGTCTTCGAGGGCTACATTTAATCATATACTGCAAATCGTTATGTGACTGCCTGTGGGGACTCTGGATTGAGCTTCAAGGGCAAAACAGGACGAGCATGTTCCGTAACCAGATCGGTGAGCGCCATACCGTTCAGTGTCCCTCGTTGGCTTCAATGGACTGGTAAGACGACTTAAAAAACTGAACCGAGTCGACGACTGAGCTGGTGTTCATCCTATCCCCTCGCCCCAACATCAACTCCCGTGAACTGCATGGGCCACACAGTTTCTACATAAAGCTGATTTTATTTTAATGCATCTTCCTATATTACTTATTTATTCCTCCCTCATGTCTTATTCGCGTCAACCCTTTTTAATTACAGCTCGCAGGCCAAAGCTGGCAATAATGATGATCACGACTATTTGTTTTTACATTTTGCTTGCTCTTAGTCCTCACTTCCCCGCCCAAGTGCGAAAGCACCTGCCAGCCGGCCTCCGTCTTCTCAAATCCCTCGCTTGCCCCCACCACACCGAACTACTGCTTCCAAGGCCCAAAAACAAACAGGCGTTGCGGCGGTTCAAACGGCCAATCCACCGCGCGCCCCCCCGAAGGCTGCTTCTTCACAGAATTTGGTTCCTAATTCCGCCAAACCCTCCCCAGCTGCCGTTGCAGAACCTGTCCGGTCAGCTTCAACTACCGATGTCATCGATCTGACATCTGAAACGTTATCACAAGCAGCCACTGCGAAGTCTTCCTCTGTGACAGGTAATACTGTTTCTTGCGTTGCAAGCCGCGAACCACATTGCTTGGGCAATGCCTGTATTTAATTATCACCTTCTCTCCTTGCCGGAGGGACGCCAGTTCCATTTGATGTCTTATAGGTTTAACTTCATGACCTATGCTGACATACCACCTTGGGTCATAGGTGGTGAAGGTAAACATTATTCCGCAGGGGAAGTTGTTGTAATCAGAGTAGTCTCATTCACTCGAGTAGCATAGCCCAAACGAAAGAGATGGATGAGTACCCTAGATTTGGGCTTTATTAGTCTTACAATTGCCTAGTAAAACTAAAGCGAGAAACAGAGCAGTAGTATGTGAGGTACAAATTGGTCAGGGTTAGCATGAAATTCTCTCCGGCCAACAAGTAAAGGGATTAGGATGCGGCCAAATTTAGTCAAGGGTTTATCTGTGGCAGGGTTTAAACGTCTCTGTCGCGAAGGCCATATAGATGAATGCACTGTTGTTCTTATTGCCGTTTCATCAATATTGTCTGATTATGCATGTGGACGTCTTCTTCGTCGTGGGAACCATAACAGGCGTTGTAGTATTCTGTTTGTCAGCTGGAGTGGCATAAATTTCCCGATCAGTGGTTGGTGAATGATCAGAGCAAAAACGAATGGAGTCCTCGAATAAGTGGGCCCGTCTACTGATGATATCTGACGATAGCCGCTCTGGATTTCTAGAAAACTATATGTGAAGATGCAGCACAGTTTTTTTCACCGAAACTATATGTTTTATTTAGTTAACTGCGATGTAAATGTGTAGGCATGGTGGAGAATTCATCGAAAGCAAACTTATGCTCGCCAATTTATCTTTTGAAAGCTATAGTGTCGTAGTTAGCAATATGTTCTAGCATTACGTCTATCCTAGGGAAAGAGAAGACATTGAGGATTGCGTTTTTGTTGGTCTTCTGGCTATAGTCAGCAACTATATACTTTTTGTGGTTTTCATTGCCTCACTAAGGGGATAAGGAGGGCTCAGTTACTCCTTCAGCTAAAAGATGACGAATCTCCTGTCGTACAAATATCTCATCAATTTTAGTCTGTCTAAAAAAAATTGTCGCGGTAGGCTTGCAGTCCCGTATTAGATTAGAACACATGCGAGAAGGCTCGACGCAACTGGAAACTACAGTGATAACGTATATTTAGGTCCACCAAAATGAATGCCAACTTCTGCCTGAAGAAAATCATCGCCAAGTAGAACATAGGTGCATAACTCCGACAAGACCAATAGCACATTACCTTTGTGTTTAATTGAGTCAGGAACATGCCCTTGCGTGACTCTGGCTAAAGCGGTAGTGACCATTGATTTGTAAATTCAAAAATTATTTTAGAACACTACTAAATACCTGTGGTACTCAGAACTGCCTCTGTGTACTAAGACCAGAAAATGAGCCCCGTTTATTTCAACCGCTGCGTTTGAAAAACAGTCTGGAGTAGTACTCGATCCTACGGCAGAAACGGTCCGATTTGTATAAGAGAGGACTTCCACGTTTCCCGATGCCACGCAAACCTTTGTATCTATTTCTACCACATTCTTTGCATAACACGTTATGTTGGGACACCTAAAACGAGACTGCTTATCATACGCGCAAAAAGCCCTAGGTGGAAACTACTGTGTCGGGTATTTTAGCACACCTCAATAGCGGCAGAAAATTTGGCGGTCGGAGGGTTCTGGTAGGACAGAGACTCGTTGACCCCTGGGTGGGGCACCACTTGGGGTTGGGTATGACGGGCTAATGAGGGCTCATGAGCGATAAACGGCTATTCCAGTCCTCCTTGTCTTTGCCGACAATGTTAACAAGATATCAACTGTCGATTCCAGTAATCTTGCTTGATCAAGAACAGTTTTAAGGTTTAGAATCTCCTGCTACGACAGTCTGCTGAGTCTGGTCTGATGGAGGCGTCCCAGATGCCTTCATCAAAGTGTTGCTATGCCCTACCTCCCTGTAAATAAAGTCCTCAGTTAAGG